ACCCTGTTAATGAGGGGAAGCTGACCTCTGACCCGGGTCCTGACCCGTCCACTCAGGTCTTATGACGCTTGTTTTGGATTGGCTGTACTGAAACCAGTTTCATTGTGCTTCTGTACGATGACGATTAAGGCTGGTTCTGATTCTGATCCAGGTTCTGGTGGTCAAGGCGCGGTGCATCTACCGGCGGGCGGTGACATCCTGCGGTTACCTGGGCAACGAGCAGCGGGCCTTGTTCCGGGTGATGGACCTGCGGATGCTGCTGTACCCGCTGGTGTTTGTGTTCTGCTGGGGTCCAGGTTTGTCCCGGTTCTGATCCGTGTCACTCGCCACTCAGCGTGGCTGTTGCTAGGGGCGACCGCGTCTCGTTCACTCTGTGCGTTCCGTTTCAGCCGTGGCGCTGGCGTTCCTGCGGGTGGCGAAGCCGTCGACGGGTCACGGCGTGGCAGGCGTCTGCCTCTACATATCCGAGGTCAGCGCGCCACGCTCCGGGCCGACCGGGTCGCTCCGGGCCGACCGGGTCGCTCCGGGCCGGTACCTGGAGCTCCTACTGATCAGGCTTTACGTTTTAATCCAGTGATGTTTTGGTGATTTTAAAGGGCCAGTGTCAGATTTTCCATCATGTTATAATTATTGCTCATCAGAAACGTACTTGGTCCTCTAATCTCTATGACAACCATTCAGCTGTTAAAACACCTGGGTGGGCTTCAGAAAGAGCCGGAGCTTCTTAAAGGCACAGAGACCCAATTTCAAGCATTTGAATCAGGAAGTCAAATTTATTTCAAGTCATTTTTGATATTTTTATAGTTAGAAAGTGAAAACACCTGATGCTGCCTCTCTAAGGTCACTTTGTGTCGGTTTTGTTGCTTTGTGTTGCTTTTGTTCCTGTTTCTGTTCTTAAAGTGACGGTGTGTATTTTCCAGGCTTTCACTTCGGCCTCTCAGGGTTTCCTCAACTGTCTGGTGTACGGCTGGACGCGCCTGCACCTCCGCCGCGCCGGTCTGTCCTTCTTCTCCAGAGACGTGGACACGCAGACGCCGCTGCTGCGCTCCCAGCAGACCAGGAGCTATCTCACCTGAGGGGGGCGAGCGGCTCAGCAGCGGGTGGGGGTGGGGGCTTTTCTGCCACAGAGACTTGAGGCGTTAACTTTCGCTTTCCACCAGAGGAAAAACTCCGCGGCTGCATCTTCCACCTCTGGTCCTGAACCACCGAGGCGAGAAAAGAGGAAGAGGAAGAGCAAAGGGGGGTTGAGAATGGTTACTCAGTCTGTCAGCGACCTCTGACCTTAGGAAGTGAAATCATCAGTCTGGGTTGAAATGCTTTTATTTTGAAGTTTTCCAGCTAATAAAGTTGCTTCACTGATCAGAAATCATCTGAAAGGTTTTTACAAACTGGTTTAAATTTAGATTTTTAATCTTGTTTCATTTATTTTGCCGATTTTCTTTCTGAAAGTTGGCAGAATAAATAAAAATGATTATTAAGCTTTGAAGAAATTGATGCAACACAAGAAAAAAAGTGAACTGGAAAAAGTCAAACTATTTGAAAATTTTAAAATCCCAACAATCAACTGAATGTAAAATTTATTCAGATTTTATTTCCACACTCTTTCAACTTGTTTTGCATTTCATTCTTGTGTTTTTAAAACTTTATTATTATTTTTACTTTACTGTTCTGGCTTTCTCGTTATGTTTTATTATTTTAACTTTATTCTCTCGTTAAGACTTTATGCTAATAAAATTATCACTTTATTTTTGTAATTTAAAGAAAAGTCATTTTGTCATTTTTATGTTTCAGAACTAATAAAAATTACAAAAATTATTGATGGAAAATAGATTTAAAAGATCAAATGAACTGTAAAAAGTCTGACTTGTCGTTGGTTAAAGATGGAAAAAAAAATCCCAACGATGTTCATGCTGACAGATGCTTATTGTTGCATAAACAGTTGGTGATATATTATCCGCCCCCACAGCCGAGCCGCTCTGGGCGATCAGCCGTTTCTGCTGGAGAATCAGGAAAAAAACGAAATGATATGAAACCAGGAGCCTGCAGGTGGCGCTGGAGGTTACTGAGCAATGTCTCAAAAACAAATAGAAAATATAAATTAAACAATACATTGAAAACAATTAAGATAAAATGGAAAAATAACCTGAAAAAGAAAAGATTTAAAATGACAAATTTTAGAAATTAAAATTTCAAAAAATAATTTGAAAAAATGCAACTAGAAAATAAAAGATGAAATAATTCTTTAAGAAAAAATCAGAAAAAATTAAAAGGAAATGAATTGAAAACTGAAACTATTGTTAACCGTTCCTGCTCAATCTGCTGACCGTGGTCTGAAGACACAGGGGAGATGTTTCTCCAGGGCCGAAGTTTCTACTTCGGGGTTAACTCCCTCGCACGCCTTGAACATGAACGACGCGGTGGCACGGAGATGGTTGAGGTTAACTTTTAATAACTCCAGCTAACAGGTGAAAGCTGCACAGACTTTTCTTACAGCCGCTGCTCCGGTCGTCATCTACACACTCACTCCGCCTCACACACACCGTCTCTCTCTACCTCCTCCAGGATGCAGGGGTTCTTTTTGTATGCAGCGCCCCCCTTCAGACCGGAGGACGACTGCCACACACATCTCTTGCACCCGCACAACTCACTAAGCTAAACATCACATACAGTGGAGGCACTTTCCGCAACACTATAGATATTGTAAATTACTCTCAAAACATTTTTTATTACAGTTTGATAAAGTTTAATTTTTTTCCCATTTAAATTCCTGTACGGTGTTTTTTACTCAGAGCCGGCTGCCCCTCCCCAACCTGTTTCCATCAGAGAGCAGCGGCTCTTCTCTTCCTCTGCTCGCCATCCTGGAAACAAAATTCAGATATTTTGACCTAAATAATGAAACAGGAACCTCAGAGACCCGCAGCCTGCAGCTTCTGAACCAAACCGTTCTCTGTTGGTTCTGTCCGTCTGGACCCGGGCTGACCGGAACCAGAGTTTCTTCCCTCCACCTGCCGGACAGATGAGACGCACCCGGCCCCTCAGGTCTGGCTGCGGACCCGCAGAGCTCTGCGGCTTTCAGTGAGCAGTCCGCAGCTCAGGGCGCCCCCTGCCGGACACGCTGCGTGTCACGTTCTGCTGTAAATACTTTTTAAGATGCCGTTTAAATAAGAGATTTTCTAACATTGTTTTATTTTGACAAACTTCTCGGTTGATTGAAAATAATTTAAATCTAAATCTTACAGGGGTATGAATACCTCTGAGCTTAGAGAAAATTCAACAAAAACAAAATGTTTGTTTTTAAAGTGAATTTTAGTTGAAAGTTGAGTCAGAGGATGGAAACATGACTGTAGCTGGAGTCACAGGCCCCTGTTGGTCCCGGTTCGTCCCTGTTGGACCCTATTGGACCAGGTACTAAGTAGTTTCCAGAACATAAGATGTTCAGAACAGTGACGTTCATTGCTGGTGAGCCACTGACTTACGACGGGCAAAAAGACTAACCTTTTACATGTCATCCGTAGCCGCGTTAACTCAGTGAAACTTAGAAATGTAGGTATTGATTTCGTGCTATGATCCACAGCAAAGGGAAAGAGGTATTCTCCACGCTATGCAACTGCCAACATGTTTTAGGATTTAACACTAAAAAAACTAGATTAGCTACCGCTCCTACTTTACTGAATTACTTAGACATACAAACTGTAGCCCACAAAA